CTTAACATTTACCTAAAGCTGAGGAGGAAGCACAAGCATGTGCCTGATCATCATGGCTGGTCCAGGAAAACAAAGCTAAGTGAAACAAATCTCACAGTGCCACTTGCTCATTTGATGGTGTGGCTGGGTGCCCAGGTGAGGCTTGTCTGTGAAGGTCTCTGTTCTGTCCTGTCCTTGAATGCAGGGACAGTCCTGAGAGCTGAACTTGGGTTAAAGACTCCTCTGATTCACTCACATCAGCTGTGCATTAGCCTCTCCTGCTTTTGTTTTCCAGGTAGACTTTTATAACTGAAATGGAATTTTTTTGCCTGCCTTTGTTTTAAAGGGAGAGGCAAGTGGGAAGGACTAATCTAAATTAAATACATTACAGATCTCATATTAATGCCATTTAAGCAGGTCCTTTCTTAATTTACCTTAGTTCTATATAGCCTTTTATATTTTAAAAACATTTTTCATTTCTGTGGGCTGCCAGATGTGCTGCTGATACCTTCTGATCTTAGGTAGTTTGACACTGATTTTCCCAGCGCACGCCAGGGTTCAAGTCTGGCCTGTAACTCATCCAAATGATCTATTCATAACAAAAAGTGCCTTCTGGCAGTTGCACCACAGCTGAATATTGTTAAACTGAATTCATCCTTTCATTTGTTTCTGATTGCTCTATGATGTTTACATATCTTACATATTAGTATGATCTTTTATAAAGCACACGCTGAGGTTAAACCCGCCCAGAGAGAACTTTATTTCCCTTTTTCTCTCTTTCAGAAGGTGTGGAACTCTTTTTTTTTTTTTTTTTTTTTTTTTTTCCCTGTCAAATGAGCAGGAATCTTGGAACTGCTTAGTGCTCATTTCATCCAAAGCAGTGGGGCTGAGCAAGCAGGAATGTGTGTGGTGGGGAGGCAGGGAAAGGTGACATTTCCTTGCACAAAAGGATTGTCCCCCATCCCCAGACAGAGTAACTGTGAGGTGGAGTTGCCTGTCTGGGTGTAATCCTTGTCTGAGCTGGCATCATCACCCATGAGGGCAACAGTCCCTGTGTGAACACGTTCAGCTGGAATATTTATAGATGCAGCTTATGACTCAAAGTCTGAACAGGTTCAGATTCCTCTCGTCTTCTGTCTTCAAATTCCTGCTGCATTAATTGTGCAGAGATCACTCTCACCTCTAGCAGAGGATATCCTGTGTTTCAGTTTCACTCTATATAAAAGATAATAACTGTTACTATGTCTCACAGTGGGAGTGTGTCACAGGAGGAATTTCAGTTCAATGGAAGGCAGAAAGTCTTAGGCTCCCTTTGAATTCGTATTTTAACTTCCAGAGAAGGATGACATCTCTTATTTGCTTTAAAAATAAAAATCAATTGCCCATAAATCTGAAACACATGTTGTTTTTCTACTAAAAAGATTAAGGATTTTCTTAAGCTCATTAAAGGAAAAAAAAATAATGACATTGATCCTCCTATATCACCATAAGAATGTCTGAAGGCAATTGAAAGCTGTAAAAGAGACATGGTGTTATTGTAACCAAAATAGCCCTGAATCTGGAAAATTGTGCTTTTCTTTTCTTCTAGGTACTGCAGCAAACTTTGCACTGCTTCTCCAACCTTATGCCTCTGTCTAGTCATGTGTTTTAGTGGGATTGGGTGGGATGTATACTCAAACAGAATTAGGACTTTTTATTATGAAAATACAAATGCCAGCTGCTGCGTGGCTTGAAAGATTTAATCACCGTCCAAATATTTCAAGGAGGGGAAATGGAAACCATTTGCTGTTTCTGATGCATATAGCTTCAGGAGGATGCTCACCCTGTTGCTTCTCAAGGATTGTGTGTCTGTTTTGAGGAGTTTGTTATCCCCAATTTTCTTGCTTTCCATGTGTATCAAAGCCCAGAGTCTGCAAAATGTGAATTAAACTCCTTAAGTGAAAGGGGGAAATGGGAAATCTGATTATGCCCTATCATCAGTAAAGCCAAGCATGACAGCCAGTGTTCTTTATTCCAGTTAAAAGTTCCCACAGCAACAAAACTGATAACCAAGTGCCCTGCTGGCTTTATTCATCAGTGTGGCAATTCCCAACGCCCTCGTTTGCTCTGTTCATGTGTTGAAAGTTTGCTGGAATGTGTACAAATGGTACTTTGGTAGTAAGAGGATAGGAAGGTCTCAGTGTAATGTGAGAAGAGCCAGCATGGAAATATCCTGTCCTAAATTCCTGTGAGTGTCCAAAACACTAGGCCAGAAGTACTGGCTGCAGGGAGAATTTGGTCTTTTAATGAATCTAAACATTTTTACAGGAGAATTTGGTAAATTGTGGACTAATGACAGAAAAAAGGTGTGAGTTTGTTTTTTATTTTATAAACTCTATTGCCCTTCTTGATGTTGAGACTTTCCCCTGATTTCACAAAGCGTCTTGATGCCTTTAATATCCTTTGGCTGCTTGTTTTTTTTTTTCTGGTGACACAGCATTTAGATTTTAGTCTTGATCCCTTTGCCATAACCAGATTTTTTTCCTTCAGCAGACTGCAGAACCCTGCAAAGTTCTCTGCATCACAAATATTTTGAGATAAGCCTTCAAGACCCCAGGCCCCTTCTGCCCTAAATGTACCTTGTCAGCTCCTGGGACACTGTGCTGTGTCCATGGCTGTAGGGTGGGAGTGAGTTGAGATGTTTGGGTTCTCCCCATGCTTCCATCACCAGTTCAGAGCAGATACTGACTGGGGACTTCGGCCACATGCTGTGTTCTCAGTAAGGTCAGTGAAGTGGAATTGGTCTAAAAATCAGCTTGTTTTAGGATTTGCTTTTTCTTGTGCTTCATTTTGTTATTGAAATCGTAAAAGAAGGCTTGCCCCATCGAGGTGATGAAAACTCAAAGCTGTATTAATTTGTAGTTTTAAGAGAAAACAAAACAAAACCAAATGTCTTTGCAATGTTTTTGACGTAGCTTCGTCCACTTGGAGTCATAAATGCCTTTGTAAATTCAGTGCAGCTATTCTTGCTCTTTAATGGGTTTAGTCAGCCAAAATCTTGCACAGACACACAAGACACATGTGTACACATACATCTGTAAGGAAAGTAAGTCAGGGCATCAGAGCTGATAAGGGAGATCCAAGCAGGATTCCCAGATTTGTTAGATGCGTTCCTGAGAGAAATCATAATTTCTTGACACTGTGGTGATGTATTTTGAAAAACAAATTTTTGTTGTTTTGTTTTCCTACTTAACTTCCTGACAAGAATCAGCTGTACTGTAAGTTTATGGCTTGAGCAGACTATTGTTTGTGCAGAAACCTCCCTGCTGCTGTATTTACTAAACATGTGTGATGCACAAATGCCAGTAAACTGCATCTTGCAGCATATTCCCTACTGGCTAGTAAAAACTGCCTTTAATGTTCAGCCTGTTTAAATATAGAGAAAATGTGCATCAAGTTTAACAGGAACAGGCCTGAATTTTTAATTATTCTCAAAACTGTTTTGATGTAAAGTCCAGGCTTTATTGAATTCAACAGCAAACCTTGAGCATCTTTCAATGGGTCTAGAATTTTGCTGTTGAAGAGCAAGGTCTAAATACAAAAAACCCCATTGTCCCATTGACTAAGACCTCTCTTTTTTGCTCTTCAGCATTGATACACACAGACTGATTTTGTTACGGAATTAATTCTCTTGTATCCTTCTCTGTTAGTAGTTCCCACCTTCTGGAAAACAACAGTTGCAGATTTAGCCATCATCAGTGGGAAGTGCAGCATAAATCATGGGATGGTGTAGGACTGCACTGCTGTTCTTTTTTCCCAGTGAAATCACAGCTGTGTCTCACTTGAGAGTATATATGTAGTCCTGGAAGAGAAAACATGGATCCTGCTTCCAAGAGAAGCCTGGCAGGGCGTGGATGGCCTGTGTCCTCCAGCCCCTGCTGCAAGAGTTCCACGTTCAACCAGTGGGGCTGAATTAGTCTTTGGAGCAAGTCCTGGGACTCAAGTCCCACCATCCCAGTTCCTGGTGTGTCTGTGACTTGCAGACTGGACAGGGATCTGCTGAACCAGGAGGGAAGTGTAGAAAGTCTGTCTGGTCTATTGAAAGTGAAACCACTCTGCAAGAGGAAGGAAAATGCCCTCCACCCTTATAAACTGGTAATTTGCATCTTCTGAAGGAGAGAAAGGAAATGAACCAGTGTCTCCCACATCCTGAGTGGTCTAACCACAAAAGCAGGGAGTGCAGGGGCCAGGCTGTCCCTGTGCTGGGGATGTTGGTGTGCGAGTGGTGGAGCTCTGCTCCATGCCTGGGAGACACTGCTCAGATATCTGCCTGATCTGCCCTCACAGCTAGGAGTGGTTTGTGTAAAGCCGAGCCTAACTAAGGGGCAGAATGTGGTCTTTACCCAGGCGTGTTTGCTGCTGAAGCCAAGCAGATCCCAGCCCAGGTGTGCAGCCTGCACCTGAGGCACCCCTCTCTCCTGGCACTGTTGAGAGGGCACTGGAGCTTGGCCTTCCACTGCCAGCATGGAGCTGATGGCAGCTCTCGAGGGACAGCACTGTCCTCTGTCAGCAGGATTCCCTCCTCATTCTGAGCTCTCCTAAAGTACAGGATGGGAAACTCCTGTGCTGATTACAGTGCCTGTGTTTGCTCATGCCAATCAAGCAGAGTACTGTATCCCACTAGTCACTCTAAATAAGTCCTTTTTCTGGAGAAATGAGCCAGTTTCCCTCTCGGTGTAAAATACAGGTCCTATTCCTGAAATTTCTTACTTTCTGTTTGTCCAGGCCCAGCTGTTCTTCAGTAGGGATGAATGGGTTGTGGGCTGTGTCTTATCATCTAAAAATTATATAAATGGGGGAAAACATTTTCCCATGTTTTTGGGAGTAAATTTCTACCTGTACATCTCCACTTCTGTTGGTAATTCCAGTGGAGAAGCAGGAATTGTCTTGGTATTGGACTCTGATAGCTGCCAAGCTTTAATTGTGAAGTTCCTACTTTGACAAGCACTTTGATTCACTAGAGCTTTCTGTTGCTTTTCCAGGTCAGTGAAACCCCCATTTTTGTGCCTGGTGTTTGGGGACCGTATTTCTCTGCCATGGTACCTGGATTGTGGTTGAATGAGGGAGGCCAGAGTGCTACAGGAAAACTGGTGAGTGTTTGGAGACTGGCAGTTCAGACCTGAAACATCTCCGTAAGATCATGGGATGTACCAGGCTGCTGAAAGCAATTAACAATTAGATGAGTGTTATGTTTGTTATGTATTACTAATTTGCATAGAGATAGGGATTATATACAGGGCACGTCTTCCTTTTATGGTGGTGGTGATGATTATTGTAATTATCTTACAGGCAAATTAGTTTCATTTGTTGCTTTAGCAGGAGGCTGACACAGACTTTGAGGTGAAGAAAATGATACATATTGTATTATATAGATCAGTTGTGTTCATTGATGGGCATAAATGAAAGATATAGGGACAGAACAGTAACATGGTAACATATTATTCCATCATCTCAGTTGTTTTCCTGAATAAAAAGAATCTAACAGTATTAGGTTAATTTAATTTACCAATAAAAATTAAAGCCAAGCAGAGTTCACTAAAAAATGAATTTTCGTATTTACAGGAAGGCAGTCAGAAATAAAACATCAAATTTAAAGAAAAGCTGCATGTACACAACAGTATTTAGGCTTGAGTCCAAAAGTGTCAGCAAGTCCTTGGTGACTGCTTAACCCTGGGGTTTCTGGATCTCCTTTTGTTAATGCCTTGTGAAGGCTGACCTGGAACAGAGGCTACACAGAGTTAAAGAATAAAGCAGGGATTTATTAAAAGGCCTCAATGGATTCACCTTGGGCAGCACAAGAGCCCAGCCAGGGCTGCACCCAAGATGAACCAAAGTGGTCACAAAATGGATGGCTGGTCATGGGATACATTTTTATAAGTTCTGCTCCGTTTGCATATTGGAGTTAATTGTCTAATTGCAGCTTTAGGTTATGAAGTCCCATCCTTCTTGTTTTCCTCTCTTCAGCCCACATTGTTTGTGCTCTTGGGCTGAGATTTGGATCATTTGTCCTTGGTGCCCAGCTGGAGCAGGAATTGTTTTGTCTCCCTGCTCTGTGCAGAGAGCTCACCATCCCCTCATGTGAATCTCAGAGTTACACACTAAAGCACAGAATCTGAAAAATATAAAAGCCAAAACCAGAGGCATCAGTGTCACCTTGCCCAACTTGTGGAAACCCTGTCTGCCCTCAGGGCTGAGCTGCAGGGGCCTCTGGAGAGGCTGCAGGAGACAGCCCCAGGCCTGTGGGTGTCCCTGGAATGCCCCAAGTGCAGGTGGGTTTGGTCTGTCACAAACTGCAGCTGTGATCGCTCCTGACTCAGCACCACTCATCTCTTTACAAGCCTGGAGATGGGAATGCATGGCCAGGAAATGCACTGGGGCATTGCTGCATTTAAACATTCCATATGGAACAGTTACTGAGTGAAAAGCAGAAATCCTCCTGGATCAGGAAGCCCAGACACACCCCAGGCTGAGCTGGGACTGGGGATCCCTTCTGAGCTCTCTCCTTGGCCACACCAACCTGACATTCCTCTGTGTCACAGCTGCAGTGGCACAGTCATTCCTCCCCCTGCAGCCTGGCTTCCCACCCCACCTCCAGCCCATCCTTAGCCTTGTGGCTAAAAACTTTTAAATTAATAATTAGTAATAATTTTTAATAATTGCTTTTGCAGCAGGTGGGATGTGTGTGCTTTACATTTTTCAGGTAAAGATTGGGCTAGGACCATAAAGTGACCCATTTTACAAATAACTGCTACAACCAGACATAAAACTAAATAATGCCCATATAAAATAATAAATATATGCTCATAACACTACCAGTTTTCAAGGAGAACAGCAAATCTTGTGTGCTGCTTTGCAAGAACAATTTTGAGAAGGAAGTTTCTGTGTGCTTAATTCTGAACAGGTAAATACACTTATCTAAGTTCCAGACAGGATACAGGCAGTCACTAGTTTTTCTTGGCTGGCTCACAGTGGTTCCACACTTAAAATGTACAATGAGAATTAAGGCATTTGAAAAAGATGATTTTAAAAATCCTTTCCTTTCTTTGATCAGAGAACAAGGTGTTCCTGAATCATTAAAGAAATTACTGGGAAAAATGAACAGTCTTGTTAGGACCCACAGCAAAAGTCAGCTTGAAGTACTGTTGGGAATATTAGGGAAAGTGTCTCATTAAAACACTCTTGGAATATCCCCTGTGGTTTTATTGAGGTGAACAGAGGACACATAGGGAGCCATGGGAGGAGACACTGCTATGTGCAATATGCAGGGTACATTGCATTTATTATCTCTGTCATTTCAAAGCTCCTGCTTTCTCACACCTAAAGTTTTCTGAAAAAAAGAAGGATATGTTTAGGAGTTCTTTCCATTGCTTGATCAACATCCCAAGGTGAATTATTTCCATAAAATTTGAAAAGTCTGATCAAACTTCTTAAAAGTAAAGCTGATCCCTTTAAAAATCTCTAATTTTTTGGGGATACAGCTGCAAAAAAATAAGTTGGATTTTGAAAACTGTTTGTATGGTGCCCAAATGAAGGATTAAGAAGTCCCTTGTTCTGCAAATTCTTGTTTAGTTGTATATTCAATGGGGTTTTACACTATATTTTCAAAATTTATAAGAAGAAATATATTGCACAATGGAGACAGAGGATGGCATGACATCATTGTGAAATGTGAAATAAAAAATAAAAGAAGAGGGTTTCTAGATGATTCCCTCATGTGGCCATGGCTTCAATTAAGGGCAAACTTCGTAACTCCTGTAACAGTTCTGTGTAACAGTGCTTTCAGAGCAGACACCTATGTATGATGTTTATTTATAGATTTCTTTCTGAATTTATGAGCTGCCCCTGTGTTCTGCAGAGATTCTGCAGGATTGCAGAATTCAGGCCTGAGCTGTGTTTCTGGTGCATGCACATGTTTGACCTCTGTCTTTGATGCTGATCTCAGGGAGAGCAGACATGCATTATTTTCTTTGCTGTGTTCACATGTGTATGCTTCATTATGTGGTTCAGGACTAGACTCATGCTGTTAAGATTAAATACTAATGTGATTTGCTGTCAATAAGTACTGCCAAATATACTCAGTGCTCTTGAGTAGCTGCAGTTTTGCCTCCTTAGCTTTTACTGTCACCTCTGATGGGATATAACCAAGAGGCCACAAAACCTGCTGAATTATTGCCTTAAAAGCCTATATTATTCTACCTGATACTTTGTTTTGTGAGTAATGGTAACCACTCTGGAGTGAAAGGACAAGCTGATTTATAAATTCAGCATAAGACAGAGCTTATATTGATCTTCTTTTATAGCAATAATTGCTTTTTAGGGTGTACATTTTGTTTCCTGCAATGAATGCACAAAGCATCTATCAGGATGATAACACACCTTGTGTTTTATCATAACAGGGTGGTAGAGAAAGATGATGTAGGGATTTGGGCCAAGAAGATGCTTCTGATAGAATTCCAATGAGGATATCCATGCAGAATGGGACAGAGTAGAGGACATGCAGGGGGTGTTGGACAGGAAAAAAGTCATTCTTTCACCTTACTCTCCTGACTGAAGAGCTGCATGCTTAGCATTTGCCCTGGGTTTGGTGCAAGATTGGTTGTTTTTCTTACTGTTTATATGCCAAATCCTGAATTTCAGTGGGAGTTTTGCCATTGGCTTCTCTAGGACTAGGATTTAACACTTCATGAGTAATTTAGAGGCTCTCTTGTCTTTTTTAAAGCTGTAACACTGCCTTTCCAGGATTGAATTTTCAAGATGTACTTATCCTCAAAATGTTGCTTTCTCTTTTTCAGATCGATCATGTGGTGCGAGGCCACGTCGCCTTCCCAGAATTAGAGGCAAAAGCTGAAGCCAGGTCACTGTTTTATTCCTTTTTCACATACCTGCCTTACTGACTGATGCACACTGTATTCCCAGCAGTGTCCTCATTCTCACCCAGGGGAATGAACAGTCTGATGATAGTGGGCTGGAAGTATTTACAAAGACTTTCCCGGTGATTGCTCGTAAATGTAAGGTTTAAACTCCCCTCAGATACCTTCAGCATATCTAAGTAACCATGTTAACTTTTTGCTTTTCTATCCAGCCCAAGGTAGTTCTTGATTTTATAGCACCAGCCCTGTTCAGCAGACCTCCATGTCTTGGGCTAACAGTATGTCTTAATTTGTAGGTGAAATAATTGAGCTCCAAGGATGGGATGTAGCTTAATTAGGAATATATTATTCAGTATTTTTGAAACAGTCATCTAAAGGAAGGTGTAGCAGGAGAAACTCCTGTTTGGCAGCACAAATAGAGAAACACAGGATGAATTTTCAGACAAAGCTTTAAATGGAGGGGTGACTTGGAGGTAGCTCCAGGATTCCTTGAACAAGAGGCTCTGTGTGATGTGGAATTTGAGCTTGTTCTGCTTTAGAAGTGGATGAAGACAGTTCAGAGACTTCTGTGAGGCCTGGACTTCCTCAAGCTTTTCTGGCCTGGATTCACTCTGAGATGGTTCATATCACTCCCAGAGAGGACTTAGCTGAACAATTGGGCACGTTGGATGAAAATGTGATTCTCTTAAATGTCTTTTTCCTCTTTAGATTAAAGAAAAAAAACCCAGCAAACTTGGCATTTTCCCTTCTCCCTCTGGTCTGAGAGGCAGGGCCAGTCCTGATAGATGGATTAAGCACGTGCTGTTGCAGAGATATTTTCAGTCCTCCCTGGGGAGATAAAGCTCTACCTGGCTTCTCTGGGTGACCCTTCCCTGCCTTGCAGGGCCCACTGCCTTACTTGTTTGTTAAGAACTTGACCAGGATTCCCAGAAATGTATTGGACTTCATTCAATATGAAACAGATTCATGCTTCCTAGAATTCTCTTTGTTGTTCTTTGGAAAAGGAAATCAGGAAATAAATGCATCTGTGTATGTTTGGAATAAAGATTGAACTGGGTCTTTTTCAAAATTCTGGCTTCCAGGCCATTTTTCCAGTGCCCCCATTTGAAGCACTAGCATAAGACAAACAGTTTAGTCTGTAATGCCAGGATAAACCATCTTTTTTTTTGTGTTGGAAAAATGCCTATGGAGTAGCCTACTTGTGTCTGCTGGGTCTGATACTGACCACAAACAATGCCACAGTGCAAAAACTGACTGTGATGTGAACAGGACACTAAACACAGAATATTGGCAGTAAAACTCCATATTATCCAAGGGTATGGTGTCATAACTTTGGATTTGAGTCTCCTGCAGTTAGCAACATGGTGGAGAATAGCACTGATAGTAAGAGTCGTAATATTTTATAAAAAGAGTGATAATATTTTACTAAGTTTGTTTGCTCAATGGTATTTTTGTAATGCTTTCCAGGTATCACTCTCCTATTGAAACATTGCTATAAATTTGCTAAACAAGTCTCATATTAATTCTCTCATCTTCTGTCTCCCTGTCCCTCTCAAATATTTGTTAAATTTAAAGAATTTCATTTGAATGAATGAAAATCAGGAACTTTGAAATTTGAACTTGTTTTTTCCTTATTTTTTTCCTTTCTATTTTTCCATGATTCCCCAAACTTCAGCCTTATCCTCGGTACAAGTAGGAGCTGCTGTTGGCCAAAACTCTGGATTATGTGTTTATCTACATTAAGTCATATGCACAGAATAAAAATAATCCCAGAATCACAGAAGGGTGTGAGTTGGGAAGGACCTTAGAGCCCACCCAGTCCTACCCCTGCCATGGGCAGGGACACCTTCCACTGTCCCAGGCTGCTCCAAGCCCTGTCCAACCTGGCTGGGACACTTCTAGGGATCCTGGGGCAGCCACAGCTTCTCTGGGCACCCTGTGCCAGGGCCTCACCACCTTCACAGGGAACAATTCTTTCCCCATATCCCATCTAACCCTGCCCTCTGGCAGTGTGAAACCATTCCCCCTTATCCTGGCCCTCCTGGCCCTTGTGATTGTCTCTCTTCATCTTTCTTGTCGGCTCCCTTCAAACATGGTATCTTGTTTTGGAGGATTATTGGTGATGATAAATGATTTCACTGGAATTCTCAGCACAACAGATCAGAGAATTTGGTTTATTATGTTTAAGGATATTCTCTGTGTGGCTGTAGGAATTTGAGTCTCTTCAGCAATTGCAGATAGCCATGGAGCGGGAACCAGATGAGAATTCCATACTTTGGTGTGCAATTCCATGTTGCCTTTACTTCCCAAGCTGGGTGCAGTGAAGAGTTAAGCACAAGCATGTCTCGATCATTAAATAAACAACATCAGAGGTCACAAATCCATGCCTCTTGCTTGCTTGCTCTCGCCTCCTTCTGCCTCCCCAAACCTGTCCTCCCTTTCTCCTGAGGCTGCTAAGAGGCAGGTGTGGAGTGGCAGGTCCCTGCTGAGCAGCTGATCTGGGGAGTTTCCCTGTGCAAACTCTCTTTTGTCCCCACCAGAGCAAATTTCCAGCTGTTTTAGCAGCAGTGCAGAGATTTGTGGTGGCTTGGGAGGGCGTGAGAGGCTCAGACGAGCAGCTCTGACCACTGCTGCTGAAGGCCAGGCTTGTGCCGCCCTCCCAGTCCTATTCCTGGGTTCTTTTTTACCCTACTTTTACTGGAAGTGGAGAGGGTTGAATTACACAAGGATTTTCTGGACAGTTTAAATGTAGCATTTGGTCTATCTGATGGGCACAGTCTGTGAGCTCCAAAACTTGGGGTTTTTCAGGGAATTCAGTGAGTTGCAGAAATTATTTAGTCATCACTGCTCTGTTAAATCCTGTACAAGTAGATTAGAGTAGGAAATTAAAAGAAATAATATGATCCTTTTTGCTTTAAAGTTTAAATCGTTCTGTTTTCTAGAATGACCATTTCTCATCTGATAGAGAAGGAAAGTGTCTAACTGGCAGCAAAGTTTGTATGTCCTTTAGCACTTGTTGAGGTGCTGTTTTAGGGCAGAATTCCCTTTCCTATAGCTCTCAGTGCCTTTTCCTCATCTAAGGAGATGTCTCCTGAAGAGAAAGCATTGAAGTTACACACACAACATCCACCAGCAATTCTGGCATCTTCCTAGCAGAATATAAGAATCATATTTGGCAGTTCTCTGTGTCTCTAGATGCTTTAGAACCCTTTTTTTTTAAATTTAGAAACAAAAAAATTGGATTTTTTTTTCCCCTGAAAGATACCTGCTGGCATCTTTCAGATTGACCTCTGGTTGCTTTCTGAAGTCGTGTCCCAAGTATGAACACAGCTCTGGGCAGCCTTGCATTGATTTCTTATTCTTCCTCTTTCAGCACAGTTCCTTTTTCATGGCAACAACTCATGCTCAGCTCTGCAGGTCAGAGGCAGCTGCCACTGATACTTTCACAGAGAACTGAGTAGAAAAAGCTCCAGGAGGTGATGGTGTTATACTGGGTTAAACACAAAGGTGGTAAAACAGGTTCTGGCAGGTGTTCGAGGGATTTTGCTGGTCACTCAGTCCAAATATAGTGCCTTGAACCCTTATCTATATTTAGGAAAAAAATAAAATGTGAAAAGGTGTGGGAAAAAGTGTAGTTCCAACATTATGTGAATCTTAAGCATATTTGGCTCAACTTCAGCCTCCTTTTGTTCAGTCCTTGTGTTCTGACAGAGCTGCACAAATGGCTAATCCTTGTGAGAGCAATCAGCCAGGATGGAGAGGAAAGGAGAGAAAGGCTGGGATGTCTGGTGGTTGAGTGAGGCTTTCCTTTTTTATCCTTCCCAACAGTCAAGCCATGATTGAGACTGGAATTCAAACTACTTTATCCTTAGCAGTACTGCTTGTAGTGGAGTGTTTAGGGATGGAGAAAACAGGGCCACTTTTACAAGAACAGGAAAGAAATGATGGTGACCTCCAAATTATCATAATTCGGGTCCAGGAAGACACATAAAGCACATTTAAAGGACGTGAATAATGATGTAAATTAGTTATTTTAATGTCTTCCAAGTGTACTTCATTTTGAATGATATCCTCTGATAATGTACACATGGTAAGGTATAATTGAAAAAACATGCAGCTGAATGGTTGAATGCAAAGTATAAATATACAGCTGCTAGTGGGTCAGAAGTCAAACTAGTAAAGCATATGCCAAATTCCCTTAGGGATCTCATTAGTGCATGATTGAATATACATGTAGAGGCTAAATGAATATCACTGTTTGGGTCTGCAGTGGATGAGACAATGACTAATCAATTGTAATTAGGGTTAGATGCTATTATTGACCCACATGTCTAGAATTAAATGCCTCACTTGGAGATTTCCAAGGAGTTGGAAAATATATATGGGTTTGTTTGTGATAGGATGAGTGTTTGAAAAAAAAAAAAAGATTCTGAGTGTAATTGCAACATTTTTTAAATGGAATGTCACTAGAGTCATTGCAAGCCAAGGCACTGAAGAATTCACCATTAGTCCAGGAAAAAAGTCTGTTGGATATTGTGGAGTTGGGTGTAGCATCTGAACTTAGATACTTAGATATTTAGGCCCATGTTGGGCTCCTCCCTAAAATAGCAGCCGCTAACTTTCTCTCCTCCACCCTTAGTGCTGCATTTTAATCATAACACACACTGAAATAATTATGGTTTAAAAAAGGAAAGCTGTACATCCAGCGCTATTGATTAATCAGAGAAATTTTTAAACATTTGCAAAGGAATTTGGTTTTCATTTCTGTCTGGATTCCTCCTTACTCCTCCCTCAGCTGTGGGAGAGGAGCAGCAGCAGCCCCCAAATCTCAAGCAGCTCTTAGGAGTCAGTGGACAAGCTCAAGGTCCCATTATCTCCCCTCATCCCAGGAAATTAAGGAGTTCTGATGTCCTGTTGAGCCCACATGCACAGAGATATCCCTGCAGTGCCATGGCCTTGGCAGGCAGTGGGATTTTGCTGTTCTTTAGTGGGGTTATTGCATTTGGTGGTGGTACAAATGTTTTATGTTTGAGGAATAACCTCCCCCCTCTTTTTCCAACTTGTTTTTCTTGCAGTGCTCACAGTATATATACATACTTGAACAGTCACCTGGATCTGATTAAGAAATCTTTGCCTGTGGGTTTCCTCACTGTTGATTTACATGTTTGGCCAGATTTCCATGGTAACAGATCTCCCTTAACAGATCTGACACTAAAGGGCATGGTAAGAAACAGCCTGTCTTTGCAAAAAGGTCAATACAGGGTAAAAAAGAAAAAAAATAAAGGAGTTTGGAAGGAGCTTTTCTTCAATTTTGAGTGCACTCCTCCTTAGCTATTTACACTACCCCAAAGGATTTGGGTTTCTTGCTGCATTGCTGATGTTTCAGTAGAAAACCAGAGATCATTGTGCTTGAGATATCACTACAGCCACATTAATTGTCTAAAAACTTGAGGAATGTTGTGTGTGTGCAGGTACCTTTCCTAGGAAGCACATTCACAGCTCTTGCTGCTGTTATCTCACCTGTGAGATAACAAATCTTACAATTTGTTGCAATGAATTTCAAGAGAAATTTGGGTGAACCTGTCTGGGAAAGGAATGAAATATTCTGCCCATGGGTGGTTGATTTAAACAGCTTTTCAGCCCAACTTCCAGAGTTTGGGCATTCCTCTTCCCTGCATTTACAATGGTAGATCAGCTCACTCACAAGCCAGAACTGTGCAGAACTGTAACAGAAGGGTGTCATAAGAGTATAATTTGGTGATATCAAAATACCTGGTGATTAATGCAAAAGTCTCCTTCAAAATGGCAAATTGTCCTTCAAGTGAGCCTCTCCAGCTGCTCAGCAGCACCAAAATGTGCTGTAATTAAGGCTGAGATAGGAAAGGCATAAGTACTGCTGCATGTTTTAAGCCACAAATGAGGGAAATATTAAAAAAAAAAAAAGCCTATATATTTTTGGGTCCTAATAATACCTCCATTATTTTATGAAAGAATTACATGCTGCAGCAAAATCAGAATTTCCTTGGTATGATGGCTGTATGCAAATACTGGTAATAGCAACCCATTTTTTCTGTCACAATTCTGTCTGCATTCAGGTCTTGCCTGATATTAATCCAGAGTAACTACAGTGCAGTATTGATTTATGTCAGAGTAAAGGAGGTTAAGATATAGTATTTAATTATTAATTGTGTTTCAGTGTTAGGGTGCTTGGGAGGGAGGGGGAGAAATGCTTTTAAAAAGTTATTTTTATGTAATAGCATTTTCATATTATTACATTAAATACATTCACGAGCAATATCTGAGTCATAACATAAAACTGTCAGAGTTAATCTATCTCTAATCCCATACAATATGCTGTTTGTTCTTTATTTCTTCACAAGGGCAAGGATAATTTATGTGGCTCTTCCCCAGATCAGGAATAACATGTTTAACATAACATTATGTGTACAGCTCACAGGAGTAAGGCTTGGAATTAGCACTTAAAACTTGTTACAACAAGAAGCCATAGAGAATAATAGAGTTTTACTTTGGCTGGATTTTTACATCTTCCTTTTGATCTCTGCACAGGTTGTTGGACTAACATTGTCTCGAGGTCTGGATGAACTTGCCCTTATCTACCTGGCCACGATCCAAGCCATTGCTGTAAGACATTTTTAGTGCATAAAAGAAGAAATTAATTGGTCTGTGCAGACTGATCATTCCCTTCTGCTAACCAGATTTCTAATAATACATGAATTCACTTCATGGGCTTCTTAAAGGAGCAAGATACTGTTCACCCACATTGGTGACCGCTCCCAACTGGAGGATAATCAGCAGGCTGTGGGGGAAGATGTTCCCCTAAAAATCCTGTCTTTATGGCAATTCTGTACGTGGAGCTTTTGCCTCTGGTGCAGATGTGAGGGAGGAGGCTGACAGCACAAGGAGCAGTGTTAACATCCCAGCTGTCCTGAGGGAGGCTGAGAGAGGGGGAGAAAAGCACTGGCAATTCTACAAAGGGCTCTGTGCTGCCCTGAAAAGCCTCAGCTTCAGATTGTTCCCAAATCCGTGGATTTGCCCTCCCTGCCCGCTGGGTGAGGCAGAGCTCTGTGCCAGGGCTGTGGCTCAGACCCAGCAGGGCACATCTTCCCCCTGTGTCCCTGCCCCAGGGGGAGCAGTCCCAGCCTGTGGCCGTGGCTGGGCAGGCAGGCAGGGAGGCTGGGAAACGTCCCTGGTGTTTGCCAGCACCAGGCATGGGGAATTTATCGGAATTCTTTTTGTTCTGCCCTGATTTTCCCTTAAACCCAGGATTTCCAGTTCACGAGAAGTGATGTTTTGAGGTGAAACCCTGGCTCACAGAAGTGGTTTGGAAAGCCTGGCTCAGGGTGTTTCCAGAGGGACATGCTGTCCCCAGCCCTCTGGTCACTGAAATCCACATTCCTTTAACATCCTTTCTGTCCATTTTTTTTTTTAAATTTGTTGAACTTGAGGTGTTTTTGCAAAACATGACCAGGCTGATGAATTGGGGAGTTTTCCTGACAAAACTCTGTTCAGTTGGAAAACTTCCAAACTCCTGTCCTGGTTAAACAACAACTTTTCTAGGCTGGGTCAGCCATCTGGGATGGAGAGGGTGGGCGGCTGCTGTAAATTTGTTGGGAATTGTTCATCTCATGTGTTAACCCTCCCTCCTCAGCAAATAAGGAGAATTTAACCCCAGCCTGGGATTCATTGTTGTGAGTTTGGAGCCTTTTGCAGATGAATGTAGCTGGGTTATACCTGATGCTTCAGTATAATCCCACCATTGAAAGAAGAAAGTGGAGGAGAGGTTCAACAATGCCAGGGACTGCTCCTGCCCCTGAAAGGAACTTCCCAGTCTGGAACAGGTGCCCCGTGATTATCTCGTGCTAACGAAGTGGAAACCTTCTCTGCTGGAAATCCTGGGAAAGTCACCTATTATCTCATTATATGATACAGCTCAAACTTGATTGTAAAACACAAATACTGTCTTGAGCAGTAAACTCAGCAGCTGCGTATCTTTTGGAGAGCTGATTGAGGTGATTTAATATAAAAAGGACATATTGTAGTTTTCTTTTCACTACAAGTTAAGGGAAATTATTTTTTTCACCAAAGCATTATTGAAACAGTAACTAAAAAGTAGACAGAGAACATTGGTTTTGACTATATATTTACTCATTGCTAATGGGATACCTAGGAAATTAAATGTTCACTCCCAATTTTAGCTTCACTTTTATTGAAGGAAACAGTTGTAGTAATCCTGTACCATTAGCTGTCTTCAATGGGTGCAAGATAAACTTTAAACCTATGTAAAAATCTTGTACAAAGTGTAGGCCTGCCCACAGAATGTTAATCTCTAGTTTTCTTTTCAGCAGGAGATGCTTTTTCCTTTTTATATAAAATTTGCATTTGAAGCCCCTCAATTTGCATTTTCTCCAACCCAGGATTAAATTAGTTCCTCCCCCCCCACCCACAGTGAAATAAGTCTGGCTTTAATTTGAATTGCTGTGTGAATACAATTTTCCAGGCAGGTAAACACAAAATAATTTTCACAGCATGTTCTTTCTCAGGGTCTTTGACGTGTGTATGTTGTGAGAGAAGTTGTTAATAAATTTGAATTTCAGAAGCAGTGAAAGAGAATCTCCTTTTAAGTATTCACTGCAAAATGCAATGCAACAGTTGGCCAGATGAGAACATGATGAGAGATGTAATTGTGGCTGTCCAGCCCGTTCTGAGCAGTTGATTTTTCCATAATTAAAATCGTGGCTGTGCAATTTGGAGATCAGCCCTCTGTGTCAATAGGGAAGCGATGGATTTAGTCAGCTGGGACTGGGGCTGCTCAGGTTCCTCTGAACTGCCTGTCTAAAAGTCAAAATACATTTGAAGGCCTGTCCAGAATAGTGCTGGGCATTCACTGTGGACATCTCCAGCCTGGTGGAGCCCTGCAAGTTCCATTTTCAGTAGCTTTTATTTGAAGAGGGGTTTGTTGCAGCTGCAGCACTCTTAATAAACTGCAGCATGGTCTAAAGAAAACTTAAATAACTGTTTAGGAAAACCCTGACCAGATTGTGTTTTGTGGGGAATCTGTCTACCAAGAGTCAGCCTGGGCAACATTTTGCCTTGAATTTGGCATTTTGTCAAATATAAGCTTCAAACATAACTTCCAAGGTATTATAAAGAGCTGGGAATTATTTTTGGTTAAATAGTTTGTCAAAGAAATGGAAAATATTCTTGCAAGAGGGAAAGAGGGAGAAGGTTGACTTCAGTGAGGAGGGAAGCAAAGCAAACAAAAAGAAAAAAGTTGGTTTTTTTTTCCAATGGCAAAGCATTTGCTTCTGCCATTCTGATTTGAGTTTCTCAGAATGGAGATGGTAAATTAGAAGTTTAAAATATGCTTGCATTTGAGATGTTTCAATTAATCCAGCCATGAAGTAGAACATTTTATTTTGCATAGGGCAAAGGCCAAGAGAAATAGTTAAACCAATACAAAATTCTTCAGGTTTTTCTTTTTGCTGAAAAGACAGAAAACAGTTTTTTATTTGCTGTTCTCTTTTTGTTCTGTTTTCCTATTTGGCTTCAGAATTGAAACCTGTTTACTGAGCTGGATTTTCAGATGCTGTTGCACAAAGTAAAGAGGAGCTTCTGGTGGGGATGCCTTTGCCATGCAGGTGTACTTCTGTACTGGCTGCTCTCCTGTGCTCATCTGGTTCTGTTTTTTCTCTCCTTTTTGAAGTTAGGAACAAGACATATTTTGGAGGCGATGCAGGCTGCAGGACATGAGATCACCACGCTGTTCCTGTGTGGTGGGCTGAGCAAGAACCCTCTCTTTGTGCAGATGCACGCTGACATTACTGGTGAGCTTGGGGAAGTGCATGGGAAAGAGTGGAAATACTTTTTTTTTTTTAGGTGTCTAAGTACATTGTCTTTGGAAAAATAAAGACTTTGTGTATAGATGTATTTTGCTGCATGGCCAAAAAAATGTGCAATGAAATGTTCCTTCTATTGGTTTAATCCTATTTGACTTGTGACACTTCCTGCTCATGCTGGCCATTGCATCCATCCTACAGAACGATTCTTTCCTGAATTGCTTCCATGCCTGTGTCACTGATGTGGTTTAGGGGACAGCATCTGGATCCTTGCTCCTGCAAGGTGTTGCACTTGGTTTTGTAGAATTCCTGGTGGGTGGAAGGCCCTGGGTGTGTGTTTCACTACAGGAGAACCTCTCAGGTCTCCTTGATGTTTTTGGTCTCCCTTCAGCCTGTGTGTGTTGGACATCTCTGCACACCTGCGAGTCAATTGAATATACTTCAAAAAATGTGGAAAAAATAACAAAATTTAGTGTAAAGGGCTTCAGAGGAACATTGAGTGATGTGTGGTTTGGGTTTATTTCAAATTAAGATCAGTTAAGCTGTCATAAATGAAGTTTAAGGCTCAGATTTGGGGCGTTTGGTCTGGAGATCTGACATCAAACATCAAACCACACTTTATAACCCTGATGAAAAAGCAAAAAACATAATGCCTGTGGACCTTAAAATTCACTAAATATATCATAGTCAAAGTGATGCTTTGTGAAAAATGATGTTAAGTCCATGCCTTTCTTTCAAAAACTCACATACTTTAGATGAATTTCAGCTACATGTAGAGTTGGGCTGCTGGGTGGTAATGTGTAAAAGAAAAGATCTGTGAAAAGGTATTCTGATTAAAATGTAATCACAAGTTCTTTGACTGTAACTAATGGCCAAGTACAATTCAGTACAAAAAGGCCTTTTTGCAGTCTGGAGTTCTCCCCCATTTGTAAAATCAATGACTGACAAGGGATGTCAGAGTTCATCTGACTGAAATGCTCTTGGTTATGTTGAACTCATTAGAGCCTATCAGATAAAATAACTAACATTCCAGGATCAATCCCCCATTCTTTCCTGAAAAGAAAAAAATCTGAATATATTATTGTTAGCACAAATGCCCATGACTCAGCCATGCAGACATCCAATAGATAATTCCACAGGCCACTTAAAAAGTATCTTGATCTTTTTGTTTGCCTGGTAAGAATTCCTATTCATTCTGACCATGCGGGAAATGGGCAGTAAATTTTAGAGCACGCTGAAAATTGCTCACTGACGCCTGGCAAAGAGCCACGGAGCTCTGAGCTTGAGATCTGCTGTTCCAAGCTGACCCAAGTCCTGAGCTGTGCTTCAGCTGAGCTGCAGGAATGCTCAGGTGGCAGGGCAAGCTTTGCATCAAGTAACTGAAAGCGAGGTGAATTTGCTTTTTTATATTAATTTTATTTCTCATTTTGCAAAGTGTGTGTTTTGCCTTTTTCCTCTATGGAAGTTGTTCGTGGCTGATTTTAGGACTTCACCCAAATTTCAGCTCCTTCTAATCTTACAGCTGGCTCTCAGGAGCAGCATTTTTTGGGATATAATATGGTGGAGACTGTTCTGAGCAGGAATCCCTGCTCCCACCCCTGTGTTTGCATCATCATTCACTGAATGACATTATCTCAGTACTGGAAATGCAGACACATGCCAAATACTGCAGGAATATTAAATTTTTCAGCTTAGCGAGGATAAGCATCTGAAGTGCAGCTAGAAAAGTATTTAGATTTATGCTCTTGGTTAGATTTTTCAGGGGAATTAAGAAAGCAGGCTAGTGTTTGTTTGGTTTTTTTAGCCTTTTCCTGCTTTTCTTTACACTAGTGAAACAGGTCTGAGAAAACTCTGCATAAACCAAGGGAAAGTATGTTCTCAATAGTACCCATGGGTGATGAAACACTAATATTTAATTTTACTTTAGAATATATATTGTTTGCTTGTTTTTCCAGTGTTTTAATTTTGTTTTCCAGTATCTTGCACAAATTAGAAGACAAGATTTCTCTTATTATTTCATACATAGCTTGAGAAAATTTACTACTCATATTTTCATGTCTTCCAGCAAAACCAGGCTGGCTTTGTTGGCTGTATGTTCAAAACCAAACACAAACAGTCTTTTTTTGTTTGTTGCAAAAGAGACAAAAAGGAGACCGCCTTGTTTTCCCCTCCAGGTCAACTTTTAATAGGCACGTGGGTTTGGAGGGTGTGGGTAACAGGTTTATACCAAACCCTTTGAATGAGATAAATAGCCAGTGTCAAAGATCTGGGGGGTTGGTTTTTTTGTGTGCTTTATGTTCTGCATTAATATTTTGCAAAAATGATTCTATTGAAATGCTGCACTTTTCTTGGAGCCTGGAACCACAGAGCAGAGAGATTTACATTAACCTACAGCAGGATGTAGCTCTGAATGGGGTTTTGAATAATGGTTTTCAAGCCCTTTTTGATTCCTTTTTTGTTTGTCTTTTTGCTTTTAATTATTTGTGGAGCTGCTGGTGCTGCTGTGTTCCCTAACAGAGGCCTGGCTCTTCCCTCTGCAGGCAAACCTGTTGTGCTGTCCAAAGAAGTGGAGTCTGTTTTGGTGGGTGCTGCTATTCTTGGAGCTTGTGCTTCTGGGGATTTTGCATCTATCCAGGTATGCAGCACCTGATTTTATGTCATTTTTTTTCGGTTTTAATGTGTCTTACACCTTGATTCTGGCACCACGCACACACCTAAATGTAAGTGGAAAAGTTTGTCCCTTCTGCACAGCCAGACAAGATCCAGCAGTGCTTTCTCTCCACCCTCTGTTTAACTCCAGATATTATTTAGGTGTGTTGAGGATTCATTTGCCTTTGGACATGTGTGGGGACATGCATAGAAGCTGCTGTGTGTGAAGTTAGCCCATGTAATTTTACAGACAAAACAGGGAATTTGGCAAGGCTCTGATCCTGCAGGAAGGTCACACTTTCATCTCAGTTACATTTCTCCTACTTTCCTTCCTTCATATTGAGGAATGTTAAACATAAGAAGCAACAGAGCATTATTTATGCAGTAAAAAAATAACACATCTTAGCTCTTGTCTTGCCCCCAGTGAATGCAGAGTTAATAATGAGGATGGAACTGCATGTTCATTCATGTTATTTCAGTCCATTAACAGCTGAAAAAGTAGCAGTGAGGCTTTTATTTTTAGTGGATCAGTCAAAGCATGGCTTAGCTGCATTTATACAAACAACAGTGGCATCAGAAACCCAAAGAAGGGGCTGACTGTCCCAAATCATTCCTGCTTTCCCACCTGGCAATCCCATAAGCCGTGTCCTCTCCTCGTGCTGCACAAGGACACTGAGCAGCAAAATGCAGTTGGACAAAATGATTTATCAGGATGGTCCCTAATACATTTGTTGCATTTTGCTTTATAACATCAGGGACAGATATTTGTAGATGAAATTTTGCACCAAAAGCTTATCTGGAGATATTTTGTGAATAGGGAGGTCAGCTCCTTGACCTGGTTAAATTGGTGCAGTTCCACTGGAATCAATAAACAGCTCAGCATAAGCTGAGGAGCTGGGCTGTGCTTGGCACTTCTCCAAGTGGGAATATTCTACAGTGCTGTGTAGGTTAGCACAAAGAGCACTTTCCTTTCTTAAGAATGTTTCCATTAAAATGAGTCCCATTGCAGCAAATACACAGTGCAACATAGATATCAGTGTGTAATAATTCTAGTGCTTGTAAAGAGGCCTTATTTTGATAAATGTCATTTCAGTAGCAACTTTTGGTGATAGGACTTCATATTTAATTCTTACTCTTCTGTTAATCTTCTGCCTTCAAACACATATTTCATTTCAAGTCTAGGATGTTTTCCACTACTGTGCAATAACTGAATATCTCAAAACTGATTTTATTGAGTCTGTTTTTATCAGCATTGAAAAAATCTAATGCTGTGAAGTTTTCTGTTTTGTGTTTTATATAATTTTTTGTGTATCCACGTACCTTTAGTTTTTTAACCCTAACCCTTATATATAAAAATATTTCAGAAAAAATCCAGTAATGTCAGAACAGATATTAATATTTTTAAAAGCATTTAGCTACATGGGATCACAAAGGAGAAATTGAATACATTTATTTTAGGGTCAGGGAAATGCAAATGTGTATCTACCATTGCAGTTCAATAACCTCTCTGACATTTATTTTTGTAACACGTCTTCCAGAACAACCCTTTCTTAGAGGTGCTGCTGCAAACATTCAGCATCTTTGTAGATTTTGCAAATACAGGTTATTACTTCTCCTCTAATAGATGGTTTGTGCTTAATTACTGTGCTTTCCAGAGCTCTTTGTTTGCTCAGTGTAATAGTAAAGGAGAGAGCTGTGGGTTTTTTACAATAACCTCTCTCCTTACGTCTATGGTTTTTTGAAGGGGATTTTTTACTGTATTTTTCCCAGTCACTGGTCACATTTCTCAGAACAATTTTTGGACATTTCCACTCAATGTCAGAATCAAAATGTTTGAAAGCTCCCTGGTTTTTATGGGTTGGCTGTTCTCCACTTTCTAAAACTCAAGCAGTTTTAGGACAGCTTGGAAGTAGCACCCAAATCTGGATCCCCCCAAATCACTTCTGTTAATCTTAGTCCAGCTTTACCATGCTCTGCTAACAAGAGCTCTGGGTGCTGCCCACCAGGGATGCTGAATTTGATGGAATGTGCATCCTGTAGGTATCTGGGGCATGGGGCAGCCAGGTCAGAGCAGCTGCCTCACTCAGAATCTGGACACAAAGCAAGGTCCTCAAAATCCCCCAGAACATCTTTTCAGCAGAGGAAAGACAAGGTGGGTCACCTAGGGAAGAGCCAACTCTGTGGTGTCCTTATGGAGTAGTCAGAGTTAGGCTGTATTTACCTGCACAGGACAGAAGTGTGTTGGAATTGGGTGACATTTCCTGGGTTTGGTCTATGGCTGTGCTGGTTGCTGAACTCTCATCCTCCTGCACAGCCCTGGTGCTTTTCCTGTGGTGCCCCATCACTGGGGTTTGCAGAAGGGGAAGCAGCTGCTTCAGAGGATGGTTTATCCAAGGACAGGCAGTCACTCACCACACGTGGCTGTTGATGCACCCACCCCACGTGGGACAGCAGGGGCCTCACCCTGACCTGTCTTGGGCAGTGGGTCATGGTGTCTGGAACACTCCAGAGCTTTTCCTTTATCCTTTGGTATCCCTAAATAATTTTATTCTCACAAAGGAACATGCAGCAACATTCCTCCTGTCTCTTCTCCCTTCCCATACTGCAGCTCTTTGAATAATTCAGCATTTTGTTCTAATTCTTAATTTTCATGTGTTTTGCTTCATATTTCAAGTGATTTGTGCAAAGTTTTTTGTGCTTTCCACTGACCACATCTGTATTAGCACCAAAAATCTCAATATGCTGAGCCTTTACAGAGAAGCCTTGGAAATGAAGGTTAATGCAAAAGCTGTGACCAAACAGGTTAATTTGCAAGCTTCTAGTGTGGATTGAAAAGTTCAAGCCCCTTGAAGCTGCAATTTCATCTTTAGGTAATTCTATCAAGGGAAGATTTATAACCTCCATCTCTCAGGCCTGGTCACCATATGTTGTTGCTTCAAAGAATGTTGACTTCCCTATTTTCCTCTTCATTTACTCTCCCTGCATTTTTCTCCTCTGTGGTAAAACAATTGGTCTATCCAAAAAGAAAAAAAACCCACACAGTGTGGTGAGTTCTTCCCCATTTCATCTCTTGGTTATTTAGTCTCTAGAGACTCCAGAAAGGGGAGAAAATCCTCTGAATTTCTTCTTGGTTTATCTTTTCATTTGTCCCTACAAATGCTGCACACTTTTTCTCTCAGTGGTTTTGAGGGGGCTCTAACACAGCCTGGCTGGGCCCCAGCAGACACTGCTGTGTAAAACAGTGTGGCATAAAGATTTGTGAAATAGACTGTATTTTTGAGTCTTGGATTTTTGAAATACATCCTCTATTGAATGAAATAACCTTAACATTGCTAGCTTAGGTGGGTCAATTTATTGGTTCTAGCCATTCCTTTCATGCTGAGCAGCAGGATCCTGCTTTTCTATGGGATTGTTTCTATAGTAAAAATATAGTTTCCGGTTTAGCCAGCCAGCAATTCCTTCTCAGTAAAAATGTTCAATAAATAAATGTCAAAGTTTCCAGTATATCCTCGTTACTCTGCCTCACTCGTACGTAATTGAAAATGGGAAGAAGGTGCTGTTTGATTTGGCAGTCATCCAGCTAATTTTTTTTTTTTTTTTTTTTTTTTTTTTTTTTTTTTTTTTTGCTAGCCCACTCTTCGGGACAGAGCTGTACACCAGGGAACAGGATTAATGCCTTATAAAACCCTGCAGCCCACTGACTATTCCTTAATTGTGTATTAAAGCAATTAATAAAATTACCTGTATGGAACCAGATTACCAGATTTATTTTAGATATGCTGCATTCACGTGGGGCATTGTTACTAGCCAGGCATGGGAGAGAATAAACTCTGATTTTCTAGAGTGCATTTTGTTGGTAACTCTCTGTAATCAGCTTTCTGTGAATATTTTTGGTGTGAAACGCTGAGCTAGAATTTAGAATCTATGTGACTACAAGATTTTTCAGGTCTCAAATTAACTTATAAGGGAGGTTTAGCCTTTTCTTTGTTGATTTTGGTTGTTAAGCAAGTTGATGGAATAACCTACAAAAAGAAGGGAAGAGGTTTTTCATTCTATAAAGAATCTTTTTCATTTCAATAAAGCAGGTCATAGGTGGTGAAATGAGCTGGGTTCTATAGGAAAAGGTGTCAGGTAATTATCTCATGTGGATTAGCTGAATCGTTCAGCAGCTGAGCAGGTGAAGAAGCCCCTGGGTCCCGTCTGCAGCCCTGGAAGCAGCCCCAGGAGCCGAGGGGCTCGTGGTCCCCTGGCTCAGAGTCTGTGGACTGTGTTGCAGGTGGGAGTTGAAGTTAAGGTGGTGCAGGGAAATAATTCACTCACAACTCTGTACTAACAGAGCCTGGAAGAGTTTTGTTTGTGCACTGCTGGGTTTTGCTTCATTTGATGGACATCTCCTCTCAGTTGTCTGAGGATGAGGTTGGGTGGTAGAACACAGAGGGAAAAAACAAGTAACAAACCTCACAGATAGCGCAAGTTTTATAAAGATCAGCCAGGAAGAACATAGGATACACGGAGTGTTTGCCTTGTAACAATTAAAGTGTTACAGACAGTCATGAATGTAAAGAAGTTCCTGAGTACAATTAGTCCACAACCTTGGTAATGAACCAACTGGCAATGGGGAAGAGACAACATTTTCATAAGAGCAACCATAAATAGTACTGGGACATATTCAACTTTTGTGCTGACAGAACTGGAGGGGGTTAGGCCGCTTCCATTTCTGGATCAGGCCTTTTCTGGTGTAATTTTGTTCCATTTATTCCAGTGGACGTGCAGTTGATGATCTGATCCTCTATTCCTTTTCCAAAGCATCACCTGTCAGGCCATGGATTGAAATTCATGCAAGCGTCCCGTGATTTCCATATTTTCAAAAGCAAGGACTGAGTGGAAGATCAGGGAAGGGATAAGTTTTTCCTTAGAAATGGTAATAACTTGGGAAATCAAAAGAGGAAATAAAATTGCTTCTCCCTGTTGAGTTCAGGAATGCTG